TTAATAAAACGAGATTTGAGCTGTGGTCCCGAAGTAGCCGAACTACAGCTGCTCTGATTTCTCGTACCAGACGAGAATATGTAGGCATAGGATGCGATATCCTAGCGAGCACACTAACAATTAACCTTTAGTTCTCTCGCTGCTGTGCGATCGAGACTTTCCCGCTGACGACTGATTGTTATCCTTTTCTCGTGCCCGAGTGCATTTGAGACCAGACCGTAGTTTTTCCCCTAGGTTCCCGTACCTTTAAAACCAGTTTAATTTCTCACTGCTGTGTGAGAACACCCAGATTATCCGTAGTTAGCCTGAACTACGTAAGCTCTGATCTTCCATGCAGTGTGGAAGTACGTAGGCACAAGACGCGAGGTCTTGGCGAGCCAATTTCCCCGTAGTCCCGAACTACGTTGACTCTGACTTTCTCTCTTGAGAATACGTAGGCGTAGAGTGCGACGCTCTATCGAGTCAATTCCCTTCCGTTTAGATTTAGCAGTCGTAGATAGATTGTTTTGCATCCTTTAGACAACCCAAGCAAGCGTGGATCCCGTCGAGTACGACGGACGTGAGGGGTGCTAATACCTTCCCCTTGCGTAACCGACTCCCGAACCCAGGTTTTGGTTGCGATGACCATACCTTTCCCCGTTTTTTGCGAGGTTTACTTCGAGCGTTTCCTTTCCCTCCGTTGGGATAAATAACGCACGGTGGCGACTCTTCTGTCAGCCGGCGCCGATTTTCGCAGTAGCGACAGCTATGTGATCAAGATGGTGGATCTGTGCTGCTGGGAAACAAAAAATCTTGCAAAATTGCAGGTATTGGATCTGTGAGATTCAAACTCCATGATGAGTCAATAAGGTTATTGACTGAAGTCAGGTACGTACCTGACTTGAAGAGAAATTTGATTTCTCTTGGTGAATTCGACAGAAAAGGATACATTTTTCAAGGAGAGAAAAGTATCCTAAGAGTCATGAAGGGGTCGAAGGAAGTCTTGAGAGGCATGAAGAAACAAGGCTTGTATACCCTTGAGGCTGAGGTTGTAAGTGGTTCGACAAATGTTGCATCCATGAAATCTATGTCAAAGATAGAATTATGGCACATGAGATTGGGCCATGTCAGCGAAAGAGGCCCGATCAAATTGGGGAAGCAGAACCTGCTAGGAGGTGACAAAGTCGAAAAGTTGGAATTTTGTGAATCTTGTGTATTTGGTAAATCCTGTAGGGCGAATTTTAACAAAGGCAAGCAAAGAACACATGGATCACTGGATTATATTCATGCTGATCTTTGGGGGCCTGCAAGGAATCCTTCACACTCAGGTGCAAGGTACTTTCTATCCATCGTTGATGACTATTCCAGAAAGCTATGGGTATTCATTCAGAAGACGAAGGATGAAACTTTTGAGAATTTCAAAAGTTGGAAGATTCTAGTCGAAACTCAGACTGGCAGAAAGGTTAATAGGTTGAGAACCGACAATGGCCTTGAATTCTGCAACGAAGCATTCGATACTTACTGTGTTGGGTCTGGGATTGCAAGGCATAAGACTGTAGCAGGTACTCCTCAACAAAATGGCTTAGCTGAGAGATTCAATTGAACAATCCTTGAAAGGGTTAGATGCATGTTGGTTAGTGCTGGATTGAAGAAGGTGTTTTGGGCGGAAGTTGTTTCAACAGCAGCTTACCTGATAAATAGATGTCCCTCGACTGCCTTGGGAATGAAGACACCTGAAGAAGTTTGGTCGGGACATCCACCTAGTCTCGACAAACTGAGAGTATTTGGCTGTGTGGCCTATGCTCATATTAGGCGAGACAAGGTCGAACCTAGAGCTCTGAAATGCATGTTCATGGGATACCCTGAAGGAGTCAAAGCTTATAGGCTATGGTGCCTAGAGCCAGGTCACAGGAGGTGTATCACCAGTCGAGATGTAGTTTTCAATGAAGCAGAGATGAATTTCAAGAAAACTGATGATGCTGACGAAGAGCTGGAACATGAAGAGATTCCTGTTGAGGTGGAACATGTTGATGCTGAATTGCTTACCCCAGATAAAGTCGAAGAAGACGCAGAAGATGTTATCGAAGATGAGGAGACTGATAATGACTACCTGCTAGCAAGAGACAGGTCAAGGAGAGTCATCAAGCCACCTCAGAGACTTGGGTATGTAGATCTTATAGATTATGCTTTAATCTCTGCTAGTGAGGTTTTAGATGAAGAACCTAGAGACTATAAGGAAGTTATGAGGAGTCGAAAGAAGACTGAACGGCTGAAGGCCATGGATGATAAGATGAAATATCTTCATGATAACAACACCTAGGAACTGACCAAGAAACCTGCTGAAGCTAGGTTAGTCAGTTGTAAGTGGATTTTAAGGTACATAAATGGGTCTCTGAATAGAGTCATAATTTATGGTGGAGCCTTGGGTGAAGATAGTAAAGCAGCAATCGATGGATATGTCGACTCTAATTATGCAGGTTGTATGGATTCCAGAAAATCTATCTCTGGATATGTGTTCACTATGTTTGGGACAACAATCAGTTGGAAAGCAACACTTCAGAAGGTCGTTGCCCTATCAACCATTGAAGCAGAGTATATTGCCCTAACTGAAGCTGTGAAGGAAGCATTGTGGCTTGAAGGTTTTGCAAATGAGCTAAAACTTCAAGGTCGAGTTATCACTGTTAAATGTGATAGTCAAAGTGCAATACACATGTCGAAGAATTCAGCCTATCATGAGCGAACCAAGCACATTGATGTGAGGCTGCATTTCATTAGAGGGGTAATCGAGCATGGAGAAGTCCAAGTGCTGAAGGTTTCGACAGATCATAATGTTGCTGATATGATCACCAAGACGTTGCCCAGTTGCAAGTTTTTCCACTGTATGCAGTTAATAAAGCTGCATGAAGAAAGCTAGTTTCTTGATGTTAGAGTTAGATCCAAGGTGGAGATTTGTGAGATGTTGGATAGAACTCTAGTATAGTCGAAGTCTGTTCGCGAGTAATGCGTGTTGTAGTCGAAGTTTGTTCTAACATGCATTAGTCAATATTGCTAGGGTTGTTAGCATGTTGAATTGGGCCTTGCTTGTAAGCCTAATTGTTTAAGTTAGCTTGTACCCTAAGTTAGCTTGTAATGAATAATTGTTAAAAAGCCCATTAGGTTAGTGTGCTATTTTATTATAAATAGGGTGCTAGTTTCTCAATCTTGAAAAAGGAAAAATAGGAAGATAAAATCCTAATTTCAAGGGAGAGAGGTTATTTTGTTATTCTTGTATACTTGTAATCTTGTTCTAAGAGAAAGGAAAGAATAGCAGTTTAATAATCAATCCTTGTTGTTCCTTGTTGTTTTACCTTGTCTTCTTTGTTAACCATAACCCTTGTGTGTTTCTTGATCATTAAGAAACCGTTTATACTTTGTTTAAAGGTATCCGATTCACAACAGGATGTTAAGAATGTCTTTCTCAATGGTGAGTTAGAAAAAGATGCTTGTATGTGTCATTGTCTAGGATATACTTGTTCGACAAACAAGGTGTATCGTCTTCATAATTCTTTATATGGTCTAAAACAAGCACCTCAATCATTAATTGCTAAATTTCACAATACCATCTCCCAAATGGATTTCTTTTATAGTTCTCATGATTCTACTCTTTTTACTCCAAACAATAATAATGGTATCATTGTCTTGCTTCTTTATGTCAATGACATGATTATCATTAGTGAGGACATTATTGAAAATGAAGCGATCGAGCAATTTCTTTGTCAAAGTTTTTGAGATGGAGGATATTGTACCATTTAAGTTACTTTACAGGGATTGAAGTCTTATCTTTGAACAATGAATTATTTCTTCCACAAGCTAAGTATGCCTCTGATCTTGTCTCTCGAGCAAACCTCATTAATTATAAAATTGAACACATTTATCTTGAGCCCATAGTTCAATTTACTCGTCAAGATGATATTTTGCTCAATGATACCACTCTTTATTAGTAACTCATATGTAGTTTGATTTACCTCATAATTACTCAAATAAATATCTCATATTTTGTTCATCAGATTAGTCATTTCATGAATTCCCCATGTTCCACCCATTATGTCGTTGTAATTTGGGTTATTCGATATATCAAAGGTATTATTTTTTATGGTCTTTATTACTTAGATATATCTAAGATGATTCTTAGAGTATACTCTAATGTTGACTGCGCTAACGACTCGAGTGATCGTTGCTTCACCACTGATTTCTCTATTTTTCTTAGAGATTCTCTTATTTTTTTGGCATAGAAAGAAATAAAGGTTGACAACACACTCTAGCACTGAAGTTGGATATCATACTTTAGTTAATACTACTTTCGAGATACCGTAGCTCCATTGGCTTTTTGTTGTTTTAGAAATATCTCAATCTTCACACGCTTACCTTTATTATGATAATTGTATTATCATTCAATTTTCCTATAATGATATTTTCAATGAACAAATAAATCATATTGAAATTGATTGTCACTTTATTCATCAACATCTTATCTTGATTGACATTTTTGATCAACCTACTGATTTTTCTTACAAAGTTTCATTCTACTAGTCTTTTGCATTTTAATATCTTTTCAATTACATATATTTAATATATATACTAACACATGTTTAATATAGTACAAAAGTTAATCAAACTCATATTTAAATGACATTTACAAAAATAATTATGATGTATACAATAAATATTCATAATATTATAAAAATAATTAATACAAAATACAACATAAATTTGAGTATGGATATCATACTCCTATATGTTTAGATTTTTAACCAATTTCTCTTAAAGTAATAGTCACAACTAAAATGATTGTTTACCTTTTCCAAATTCCAACTGCTCTGATTTTCTTTCATAAAATAATCAAGGAGAAGATAAAGGATAATTCGGTAAAGACATAACTAAAGTCTTCTGGTTGGTATTTTCTATATTTCTTCAACCAAAGAACCCTATTAGAAGAAATTGAGACGATGGGAGTCTCAAAGTAACCAACGGAAAATCCTCCAATGGCGGAGCTTCTGTCAGAAGTAATCATTGTAATCCTCTCACGTGTTCCGGCCAAACCTCCCCTCCACCTCCGCATCATCTGCAAGTGGTTCCGCTTCCTTATCGACAACACCAACTTCATTTTCTGTCACCTAAACAAATCTCGAGATTCCATTATCATTCTCCGACAAGTATCTCGTCTCTACGAACTGGATTTGAACTCCATGGATATAGTAAAGGAACTTGACCATCCTCTCATGTGTTACAGTAACCACGTCAAGGTTTTAGGCTCTTGCAACGACCTTATCTGCATCTGCAACATCGCCGATGACAACGTTTTTTGGAATCCTTCAATCTGTAAGCATCAGGTTATTCCATCGGAACCACTCATCCATAAAGAACATAAGGAAACCAGCACTATAACTACTATATTGGCTGCTTGTGATTACAATCATTTATGAATTATGCATAAGACTTTTACAATGCTCAAACTCTAAGTCCAAGACTTCTTGCTTAAACCTCTAAGGCTCAAGACTTCCTTTCTCAAGTCCTACAGACCCAAAACTTCCTTGCTTAGACCCTCAGCCAAAGAATTTCCTGCTCTAGCCCCTCAGGCACGAGACTTAAATGAGGAAAGGTTCATGTTTACTATGTTTTGATGATGTCAAAACTAGAATATTAAGTACTTGTGTATTTTGGACGGTATCACCTTGTGTATGTCATGCATTCATCTCTTGCAAACGTGCATAAAGATCCTTATACATGTATTAGATATATAGGATCATAAACAATGTCAAAAATAGTTTTTGGGTCATTTTTAAAGTCATAGGATGACTCATAAAGGTCATAGGTCGACTCACATTGAAGGGAAAAAGGTTTTGAAACTCTCTGCCTTGCATGCGCCTACCCTGGGTCGACACATGGGATTCTACAAGTTGACTCATACTGTAAGGAAATTTTTTTGGAACTTTCTACCTTGCATGCGTCAATGCATGGGTTCCTATAGGTCGACACATGAGGCACTTATTTATGCAGTTTTGGCCACTGCCTTGTACAGGTCGACTCATAGATGATAGAGGTCGATCTCTCACGCGTGTTTACCCATTTTTCTATGTCTTTGTGTTCCCAAACTCAGTTTTTTTTCTCATTAATGTACATATACATACGCATATGCATCATGTTATTAAACAAGAAGAAAATTGAAAGAAAATTTGTCTTGCTCTTCATCTTTACTCTCATAATTGTATTCATCAACAATCATACATAATCATCATTATTGGTTGTGCTTAGTCAAAAGTGATAATGTCCAAACTTAGGATTTGTAAATCAAGTTTGGGTAGAAATTCAGTGGGATTTTCTTTGGTAAAACCATTGGGGTTTTTCCCTCCAAGATCTTGATAGATTTGGGGGGTTTTGTACAAGTCTTTGCATCACAAATTCAACCGAGTGAAAGCCTTGAAGAACGGTGGGTTCAGTCAAGAGAGTAACGGTAATCGGAGGGTCGTTTTGGAAGATTTAGGGTCAAGAAACTTGTGATCAAAATCAACCGAGTGAAAGACTTGAAGAATGGAAGGTTTGGTCAAGTGAGTAGCGGTAACCAGAGGTTTGTTCGTAGTGTTTGATGAACTTGATTCAGCTAGAATCAAGGGGAGAAAAGTGGTTAGATTCAACCTCAACAATTGGGTTAAATTGTTGGTTTGCTAGGACTTCTTTTGTACTGAATATTACACACAGATTTTATACATATCTCAATTCTATTTTAGAATTGAGGGCAGACGTACCTTAAGCATGGACGAAAGGGGATCTTCCTAAACAAATTGGGTCTCTCTCTCTCTCTCTCTCTCTCTCTCTCTCTCTCTCTCTCTCTATCTATCTATCTATCTATCTATCTATCTATCTATCTCTTTACTTTTATATTGAGGAAGTTTGTGTGAAATCAATTTTTAGCAATATTTTGATTGATTTGTAGTGTTTCAAATAGCTGTATAAAACGATTGCAATCACTTTGATTGAAAGTGAAAAAAAATTTGCACTGCAAACTCAAAGTAAAATTGACTTGGTGTGTTTCGAACGCCAAGTGTTTGATATATTAATAACATATAAATTGTTTGATAAATTGTCAATTCAAATTTTATCCTCAATTAAATATTGGAAACTGGTTCACCTTAAGTGGCTTTGATTTGAATTATTGATTGAGAACCTTATTGATTCTTCTCTCTCATCAAGATCATTCCATTCAATTTGACATATCTGATCTTTCCAATAAAGGTTCAGATAGACGAGTTTTGATCTGAGGCCGCTTTCGCATATTTTAGAACAATTTTTTAAAACGCAAATTATTAAAAATAAGTGATTTATTCAACCCCCCTTCTAGATCAGTGCCCTCGTCTAACAATGCTCAGATCAAAACCTAAGAATTTCCTACTCAGGTCCCTCAAACCCGAGACTTCCTGCTCAAGCCCCTTTGGTCTAAAACTTCCTGCTTAAACCTCTCAGGTTCAAGACTTCCTGCTTAGACCGCAACCTAAGACTTTCCTGCTCAATCAATCCACTACATTAAGACTTTCAATGATCTAGCACATATTAGGAGACTTACATGGCTCAAGCATCTTGGTGAGAGACTTGGATTTGATTAATCAATGTACTTGATTAAGACTTTCATTGCTCTACCACATAGCATGAGACTTACATGGCTCAAGCATCTTGGTGAGAGACTTTGATCTAAACTACTAAACTACATGTTCAGTAGAATAGAGAACAAGGTGTACTTGATACAAATATCAGAGGTACAGATAAATCATCATAACAAAGACCTAAAGCTCTTAAGATTTCTAATATATTCAATGTGTAAGAAATCTTAAGGCTTATACAATTACAATCTACAACAGAAATTCTGCATAACTAATTGTGTTGATAATTGCTGGTCTTGTTACTCCTCCATCTGGTTGATCCTTGTTAAAGATTCAGTTTGAACCTTCAAATACTTATATAGCATTTGAAGAAGACTAGTCGTTGGAGAGATAACTTGATCAAATGTCTTTGCTTTCTCTATAGTACAAGAGACGTTAAAGATATGAAATTCTGGTATCAGATATGAGATGTCGAAGGAGATTTTACAACACTAATATCTGAACAATCACCAATATATGAACAAGATAAAAAGGTTGTTAACAATAGTAAATAGACACAAGCAATTATTAACCCAGTTCAGTGCAAACACACATACATCTGGGGGCTACCAAGCCAGGAAGGAAATTCACTAAATAGAATTAGTTTGAAGATACGCAGTAAACTCTCTCTAGTTTACAATCTTCGCACCTAATCTCTACCCTTGCAATTTCTATCTAAAACACCTTAGATATGAGACACCTCTCACTCCCCCTCAATCACAGCAGTGATAAAAACAGATGAATAAAACTTAGAAGACACACTTCAAAGACAATACTTGATCTTGCTTAAAAGCTTCAATCAAGAACAATACACTCTTGCTTATAAGATTTGAGTGAACAACTTACAACATAAAAAAAAAAACTCAGTCCAATTCACACATCAAGGTGATGAGTGAATGGCTCACAAATACAAACACACGAAGCTAAAAGCTTATACCTTACGCAATGCACTAACTTAACCCTAGCTTCTCTTCGTTTGCAAAATAGGATTGTGTAGACTTTATATAGTCACACTTTGAACGGGCTTGGGCTTTAGCAAAAACAGTATCTGATCTGATTAGAATCAATTCAAATATTTCTTCAAATCTTTTCATAATAGGCATCAAGGAAATAGCACCAAAACAGATTTAATTAAATCAAATCAAATCACTCTTCAAATCTTCAAGATTTTCTTCAAAAAGTAGCACAAAATATTTTATAATTACTCCTCAAATTATGCACCTAAAACTCTTCTGAATAAGGAGTATTTCCATGCATATTTGAACCACTAAAACTCTAAACACAACAGTGCAAAAAGTTGACAGAAATGCAATAGGCAAACCAACACGTTCTCACTGAATGCTCTGTCCACAAATGTCAGGACATCATACTTGACATCATGAACCAAACCCTGCAACAACAAAAATAACCACCTGCAGAATGTTAAGAACATATGGCAAGACATCCTGTAGGACATCTTGTGATATCACCAAGTTGTACCAAAATTCCTGCCAATCAAGAACTAACAAACTCCCCCTTTGGAAAATTTTGGCTAAAACATCCAATAGATCACAAGAGCTCCTATATCAGAGAGCACAACAGCAGAAACACAAATACAGAAAAAAATGATCCATTCCCCTTCAAAACAAAGTGTAAACAAAAGACAGACAAAACTCTCCCTTAACAACATAAACAAACACCTCCTCAATCCTCAGAGAAACATCAGCCATACACATCAACAACATTCCTTCTCCCCCTTTTTAGCCATAAATTAGGAAAACATACTGAGGGAATCACAATATCATAGAGCAATTAAATAGAACTAAATAGAGTTAAGGGTACAGAGAGAACCCAAACAGTAGAATTCAAAAGCACATTAAGTGCCAGGAGAACAAATTCTTTAAAAAAACAACCAAATCAATCCATAAAACAAAAAAACACCATAGCCAAACATTATCTATCTTCTTCCTTAGACCCAGAACTCTCATCATCATCACCAATTGTAGACCCATAAGCATTATCATCAGTCTTCTCACCTGAACCAGAAACTTCCTCATCTTCCTCTTCTTGATCATCAGCATCCTTCATTGCATATTCTTCATTCCGTTCTATACATTTTATCATAGCTTCCAACTTAAGCTTCCTTGTTGTAGCCACACTAATAACTTCTCCTAATTCCCTGTAGGTCTCCTTTAAATCTGATATAACCCTAGCCTTTGAAGTGGATTTCTTCTCAGATGATGTTAAGACAATGTCTAGGACATATCTTCCTGCAAATAACTTATAGTGAAGTGACAGTAAAGAGTCTCTTTTGCAGGCCACGTCATTGCTTGAGAGAATCCCAGGGTGTTGGCTCAAAATAATCCCACAGACCAGAGAGGGGAAAACGATGGGTAGCTTAACAGCATTAGTGGTGGCATGTTTCACAACTTGATCAAAGATGTACCTTTCATAGTCAAAATTAACCCCTGGTCCCAATAGCAAAAATGAATCTTCTCAGACCAACAACAATGGTTGAAGTGTGATTTGTAGGTACCCAGTTGGCAGCATCAATCCTATGCAGGATGACATACTTCACACTTAGTTGGCCAGCATAAAGTTTGCCTTTTGAGGGCCAAGCATTGATTTGATTTGCAGTTATCACCTTGCAAACCTGATTGTTAGTAACTTCTAGTTCACCAGTCTCTTCCTCATCCCTGCCTAAGAACCTGTTAATATATCAGCAGAAAATTCTACACATCTTCCTCTCACAAACACCTTCATAAAATCCTTGCTCTTTTTACCATTAATGTCTTCAGGTATATTCACAATGA